CGAAGCCTTAGTGACAAGTCCACAGTTGTAAACGGCCCGAGCCCTTACCCGCGATCCTGCGCAAACCGGAAAACTGGGTCTTTGGGCCGCGACCCCAGGTGCGGGCCCACCTCAACCCTTGTCTTGGGGGAGGCTGGGGGGCGAGGGGAGGGAGGAACTGGGTACGGCCCAGAACCCGCCGAGGGGGTGAATTTTTTAATGTGAGAGTCCCTAGCGTGTGGGGCCTGGGCCGCCGCGGTCCCTCATCCCAAAGAGGGGACGTGGCGGAGGAGAGGCTTCCGGCAGGACAGCCCCGAGACAGGCCGTCCTCAGGTAGGCCCGAGGTCACGATACCTGTATTGTTGCATCGCACGTCCTGCCCTCTTCGAATTGCCTCTCGAAGTTTTCCCTGTGCCATTTTAGCCCGGAAGTTATGAGATCCGACACTATGGACCAGCCAAGTGGGTCAGCACTTCCGTGGAGTCTATGGACTGGGATTCAGCCATCCAGACGGGCTTTACAAAACTGAACAGCTACATACAAGGCAAAAACGAGAAAGGTAAAGGCAGGTTTCCTTGTAGTTATGTGTATCGTGTTGGGGTTCTTACTGAGTTGTAGCTTATTAAAGAAATATCCTTTATAATAGCAAAATAACAATGTTTTCAGACAAGGGCTCTCCACGGGACCCTTAGTTGGCTAGAAGAGGGTGGCTCTAATGTACTTTTCCAACTTACTCTGTTTCTACTGGATGAACTGGCACTCGGTGTAACTAGTGGTTATTCCTTTCCCATGGCTGCTGCTTCAAGATAATGTGTGACTGGAAGGGTCAGGTCATTAGGAGACAGGAAGGTACCAAGATTAGGAGTCTCAGGTCTCAAGTCATAACCTATGGTTCAGGTTCTGCCGCTATTTATATTTTAGCAGGTCTCTAAGCCTCTCGGACCTCATCTCTGAATTGTAAGAAAAAATAATAGGGTCATGTAATCTCTAATTTCCCCTTTCATCTCTAAAAATATAGAATTTATCAACCAAAAATGTCAGTAGTATACAAAGTATCTAATTTGGGTAGTGAATAATTGAGAAATTTTGGCCTTATGTTTTTAAAATGAAAATGAGCTTAAGGATAAGTATTTATGTCAATAGTGTAACCTAAATAAAAAAACTCGGATCAAAAAAAAGAATAGGCTAGATTCTTTAAAATAGTCATAAATACACTAAAGTTGCTTTCATTTTTATGGCACAGAGATGAAAATAAAGATGACAGCCCCAGTGATGAGCTACGTGGAACCCGGTTCAGGTCCTTTTAGTGAGTCTACCATTACCATTTCCCTGTATATTCCCTCTGAACAGCAATTTGATCCACCCAGGCCTTCAGAGTCAGATGTCTTCATTGAAGACAGAGCCGAAATGACTGTGTTTGTACGGTAAGTGGTAGATAATTTATAGCCCTGCTGACTGCTGGTTTTACTCGCATGCACTCACTGTTTAGCTCTATGCAATTTCACCGGGCTTTTTACCCTTCCATAAAGTCAGGTCAAATACATTTCATGGTGTTTTCTTACTGGCTTAGATTGATTAAGGTGACTAAGGTCTGTTACATGACACAGTCAATTAATTTTTTTTTTTTTTTTTTTTGAGTTGGAGTCTCACTCTGTCGCCCAGACTGGAGTGCAGTGACCGCTCTCGGCCACCGCAGCCTTGACCTGCTGGGCTCCGGCGATCCTTCCGCCTTAGCCTTCCAGGTAGCTGGAATTACAGGCACGCGCTACTACGCCCAGCTAATTTTTGATTTATTGTAGAGATGAGGTCTCACCAAGTTGCCCAGGCGGGTCTCGAACCCACAGGCTCAGACAATCCACTCACCTCAGCCTCCCAAAGCACTGGGAGTCAATTAATTTAATGAGAAGTCTGTTGCATACATTTCATGTATATAAAGCACAACACAAATTACATGCCCCCACCCCAAAAAAAGTAAGACTGCCCTTACCTGCAGTCTAGTTAGACCTGAACAAAAATACCTTAAAACACAGTACATGATGCTTGTCTTAGCTTGTTCAGGCTGCTGTAACTAAATACTATACGCTGGGTAGCTTATAAAAAGCAGATATTTATTTCTCACAGTTCTGAAGGCTGGAAAGTTTTAGTTCAAAGTGCTGGCAGTTTCAGTGACTGGTGACAACCTGTTTTCCTGGTTCATAGGTGGCACCTTCTCACTACATCTTCACATGTAGGCAAGGTAGCTTTCTTAGGCCTCTTTTATAAGAGCACTCATTCCGTTTGTGAGGTCTCCACCCTCAAGAGCTAATCACTTCGCAAAGGCCTTACCTCCTAATACCATCACATTGGTGATTAGGTTCTCAAATATGAAATTAGGGGGAACACAAACATGGAGTCCACAGCATTCCACCCCCCGGCCCCACAAGATGCATGTCTTCTCGCATGTACAATACATTCATTCTATCCCAATGGCCTCAAAAATCTTAACTCATTCCAGCATCAACTCAAAAATCTAAAGTCCAAAGTCTCATCCAAAGATCATCTAAATTAAATCTGGGTGAGACTCAAGGTATGATTCATTCTGAGGAAAATTTCCTCCAGCTGCAAACCTGTGAAATACGACATGTTATGTGCCTCCAAAATACAATGGTGGGACAGGTGTGGGGGAGATGCACCGTTCAAAAAGGAAGAAGCAGGAAAAAAGAAGTTGAGCAACTGGTCCCAAGTAAGTCCCAAATCATGAGACTTAAGGTTAATTTTCTGTGCCCTCTAGGTTTACTTGGGTAGAGGCTCTACCTCTGAAGCTTTGCTAGACAGGGGTTGGGCCCCTAAGGCTTCGAGTAGCCCTGCCCCCACTACAGTTCTCATAGGTTGGAGAAGTCTGCCTGCCACACTACCAGGCTGCAATTGCACCCTAGTGGCCCTCCCAGTCTGGTGTGCACTGCTCCCATGGCTCCATAAGACCTTGCCCTTGGAGTGACTCTGCTGTAGCCCTCTGCCTGAGTCACATACCTGAGCCTCTGGGCAGCTCCATCTTTTGAAATCTAGTTGGAGGTAGCCACATCCCTAGGGCTTTTGCACTCTGAGAGCTGGCGGAGATGGCACCGTATGGATGCTGCCAAGGTTTACCACATGTGCCCTCCTGAGGGGCAGCCATTATAGCTGAGGCCACTACTTGGTCCACTTGAGCTGAATCCAAGGTGGCCAAGGAGTGCTGCGTTGGAACACAACAAGGCTGTGAGGCAATACCAGGCAGCGAGCTCCAAGGATCCCCAGGTGCCCAAGGCCTCTCTTTGAAATTGTTCTGCACCTTTAGGCACTGGCATGCTGGGTCTGAGATGGGAGGAACAGCCCCATAATCTCTGAAATGTATTCCGAGTCATTCTTCCATTTTCCTGGAAGATAGGTCCTGGCTTCTGTTTAGCTGACAGTTCCCCACTCATCTCCCTATCAAAGCATTGCTTGGCCTCGCCCTTGGTCTCTCTCAAGCAGGTTTACTCATTTCTTTCAATATGGATAGATTAAGAATTCTCCAGATTTTAAGTTCTGCTTCCCTTTTGATTAAAACTTTCATCTTTACATACTTTTTTCTCTTATTTTAATATAAGCGCCCAAGAGAAGCCAAGCCACACCTTCAACAGTTGGCTTAGAGATTTCTTTAACCGAATATCCTACTTCATCACTCAAGCTCTACTGTCCACATTACCCTGGGACACAAACACATCTCAGCCAAGTTACTTGCCATGTCATGACAAGGATCACCTTTCCTCCCGTTTCCAATAACGTGTTCCTCATTTCCATCTGAGGCTTCAGCAAAATGACCTTGGGCTCAAACCACCACAGTTTGGTACAACTCCCTCCACCTCCTTGGCACTGCTCTTGCCATCCCCAGCAGTGCCCTTGCATTTGTCACATGGTTGCAGTCCTCCCCCATGTGGCCCCTGCAACGTTTATCCTTTAACTTTCAGAATGTCCTTCCTCTTCATATCATTCCTCCTCTCCTGTTTCTTCGCCTCCGTTGGTTCTTCCTCAGCTCCCTACCGCAGGAATTGCCACTGACGCTCATTTTTGACCCTCATTTCATAGCTGACTTGCTCTGGGCGATCCATTCACACTGCTTCAACTTCCTGTGTCGAAGGACTCCCAAATCTAGTAAGTGTGTCCAGATTTGCTTTCCCTACTTGTTAGATATCTCCATTTTCAGGTGGGGGTGGAAGATCAAACTCAACAGCTCCAAAATTGAGCCTTCCCCCAATTTCCAAACCTTGTCTGATCTTATAGTTCCTGTCTCAGTAAAGGGCCTCATCAGCCAGTCTCCCCAGCAAGGAACTTATGGTCATCATCAGCACCCTTTTCCCTGCCAATTGGTCCCAGATCCAGTCCATTTTGGGGCCAAGACCTACAAAAATGATTCTGGATTCTGTTCTTTCTATCCCCATTGTTACTTCGTTGGGCCCTCATCTTGTTCTCAGCACATGCCCAATACTTCCAGCAGATGCTGGGATGTTTACTGATTTCAATTGAATTCTTTCTTGACTGTTTCTCTTCTGTAGCCTGCAGACTGTTTTTACTACCACCAATCTTTTCCTTTCCTCGTCCACACTGCAACTGTGATCTTTCTTATGACAACAACAAAAACCCCAACCTGTTACTGCACTGAAAATCTGTCAGTTTCCTCTTGCTTCCAGGGAAGCTCAGGTTGTTTCCACGGTTCACAACGCCTCCATACGACATGGCCTAGTCCTGTCTCAGCTGCTCCCCTTCCCATGACTTGGGCTTCACTGACCTTCCCACCTTCATGGATCATGCCATGTTCTTCCATATCTCTCCCTTTGACCACTGGCTCATAATTCTGCTTTTTCTTGCTAAAAATCTCTTCGTGTGTAAAATGCATTTAATCATAGTACTTACCTATCTCATAGAGTTGCCATGAAGATCAAGTGAGTTAACACAGAAACACCCAGAACATTCACATCATTCATGTCTTACTCTAGTGTTCTCCCTTTTTGTCTTCCTAGAGAGCCCACTTTCTTCCTGTGGAACAAAGAACACCTTTTCTGTGATACCTTCCTCAATTTTTCCAGTTAGCTAGCTACTCTGTCCTAGGTGCCCTTTCTTCTATTGTTATTCTTCTAAGTTATAGTGGCTTATTTATAGACTACAGCTTCCTCAAGAGTATGACAGCATGTCACTATGTCCACATACTCCAGCCGCTAGCAAGGCAGGCATGGGGGAGGTAAGCAGAGAGCACATTGTATGTTTGTGTACCGGAAAAAGTGTGGATAGATCAGTGTGGAACAAAGGTGGTTTCTAACTGGAGGGTTCAATATTTGATGTTAAGGAAAAAGTGGGATCTGGAAACAAATTTCCTTTAGGCAGAGAATACTAAGCATTGATTGCTTGTTAAGGAAATAAGTAACCTTTAGGAGCCAAAATGTTTTGTACCACGTTAAATTATATTTAATGACATGAAAATGATAGAACAGAAGAGTTCTGTTGAGTTATTGAGAAGAGTTGAGTTGTATCAACTCACTGCAGTGTTTGATCTTATATACACGTGCATACAGAGATTCCTGCACTGACAGGGTTTAAAGGAACTGCATGCCAGGAATGATTCTAGGTGCTGGGTAGACACTGACATGGTCTGTACCCTTCAGAGTTTACATCTTACCTGAAGCATGATGTGATTGATATTTTGCACCGGCACATTGATAATAAAACTTATATCACAGAAGGCAGATGAGTAATATTTTTCTTTCCCAGTGTTTATTTTTAACCTTCCAAATCAATCCATTGTGCTTGCATGTCAGCAATTCAGCTAGGTCAGTGTGCTGTCATCATTGAATCACAGGATATTTTTGTTTATATGCTTTAAACTCTACTCTTAAATTTTGATTGTCTTTTCCACTTTTTATTTAATTATTATTATTATTTTTTAGTCAGAGTCTCACTCTGTTGCCCAGGATGGAGTGCAGTGGCATGATCACCGCAGCCTCAACCTCCTGGGCTCAGGTCATTCATCTGCCTCAGTCTCCTAAATAGCTGGGACTACAGGCATGCACCACCATGCCCCAGCTAGTTTTTTATTTTTATTTTGTGGTATGTTGGCCAGGCTGGTCTCGAACTCCCAGGCTTAAGCAGTCCTCTCACCTGCCAGAGTGCTGAGATTACAGGTACCAGCCACAATGCCCGGTTTATTTAATTCTTTTGATTGTCTTTTCTTCTCCATCCCCATAGCGGCCTCCTAGCCAGCTCCTCCTCACCAATCTATTTTTCATCTCTCTGCCTATATTATTACCCAGTTCTCATCAAGTTACTTTTCTGCTTAACATCCTTCAGAATAATCTCAAAAGGCTTCAGGCTAATATATAAGAGTCTTCCTTTCGGCTCTGACTAACATTCCTGACCTGATTTTATGCCTCACTATGAAACACGTTGTATTTTTAGACTTCCGTTCCTTTTTCTATCCCTCCCCTTTCTTTGTTCAGCAAAACCATCCTCCATTCCTGGCCCAACTCAGATGACACCTTTATTCCAGATTTAGTTGTATCCTCAGTACTCCCATAGTACTTTGATCCTGTCTGTTAAAACTCTTCTCAGGATGTGTAGAGAGAGCTGCCAAAATGTTAGGCTCTTTCACTAGACTACAAATTCATAAAAGTCACTGTATTCTACTCGCCTGGAATCCAGTGCCTACTCTTCCCACAGAGAGGGAAAAAGAAGCACTGTTCAGGAGAAAACTGAGTCTGGGAGAAGGGATTCTAAGGGGGGTTTGGTGTGCTTCTCCAGCTGTGTCTTGAAGCTTGTTAGAAGTGCAGATGCTGGCTGGGCGCAGTGGCTCAAGCCTGTGATCCCAGCACTTTGGGAGGCCAAAGCGAGAGGATTGCCTGAGCTCAGGGGTTCGAGACCAACCTGGGCAACTTGGTGAGACCACATCTCTACAATAAATCAAAAAAATAAGCTGGGTGTAGTAGCATGTGCCTGTAGTTCCAGCTACTTGGAAGGCTGAGGCAGAAGGATTGCCTGAGCCCAGCAGGTAGAGGCTGCAGTGGCCGTGAGCGTGCCTTTGCACTCTAGCCTGGATGACAAAGTGAGACTCCAACTCAAAAAAAAAAAGAAATGCAGATGCTCAGGCCCCACCCTAGACCTTCACCTGCAATTGAACAAGATTCCCCAGGAGATTTGTATGCACATAAAAGTTTGAGAAGCACAGGGTAAGAACGCACAAGATTGCATGCGGGTTTCAAATCTGCCTGGCAACAGATGGGAGGAGGGGTGCATTCTCCTGGGTCTCAGTGCATCTGAGGTCACATCAGGATGGAGGGAATGGTCAGCTCAGCTGCTGAGGGGAAGTAGCCTCAAAACTGCACTTCACTCTGCACTCATGGTACCAGCACCTGCTTTTTGTTTCAGACCAATATACGCGTCAGCATTCAAATCATTCACGGTTATTTACTTTCTCCTCTGTAGGTCCTTCGATGGATTCTCTAGTGCCCAAAAGAATCAAGAGCAACTTTTGACATTAGCAAGCATTTTGAGGGAAGATGGAAAAGTTTTCGATGAAAAGGTTTACTACACTGCAGGCTACAATAGTCCTTTCAAGTTGCTTAATCGAAATAATGAAGTGTGGTTGATTCAGAAAAATGAACCCTCCAAAGAAAATGAATGAAGAAATGAAAGGAAGTTCTGTTGCCAGGGGCACAACTCCTGTTTAACGTAGACGCCAACACAACCCATAAGTAACGTGCGTGTTCTAGACTACTACTAGGAATTGAGCTTATTTCCAATGTGCCTTTTGAATGCTTGAAGCTTTATCTAGATACACAGATGACAGGGGACAGCAGTCTATAAATATATAGATTGGTCATAACTCTGGTGGCCTTTATTTTTGTGAGGATCCAGGGAAATGTCACATGATGTCCCTCTTCCTCACTGCATCACAATCATGTTGCCTTTTTCTGCTTGAATTTGTCAGCTGGTTGTTAGTCCCTCCATATATTATCAATAAAAGTGTTAAAGATTTATCCTGTGTGGAACTGCCAGGCTGTCAGGTCTGGAGAAGTGAAATTCAGTTGCACACAAACATCAAATTGTCTTTTGCAACTGTTACATCATCTGTCGAACCCTCTGCCCTATCCATCTGCTGCCTGACCACACAAGAAAACTCTCACCCAGAAGTGTTGGTAGTATTTTGTGACAGAATAAGTCTATAAGTTAGGGACTTCTCATCTGACACTTAGTAAAGGCATGCTTTTTGAAGAAATGTACACAAACATAATTTTAAAATTTACTTGGATTTTTATTTTTATTTTTAATTTTAGTTTTTATTTTTGAGTTGGAGTCTCACTCTGTCACCCAGGCTGGAGTGTAGTGGCACCCTCACGGCCACTGCAGCCTCGACCTGCCAGGCTCAGGCAATCCTTCTGCCTTAGCTTTCCAAGTAGCTGGAATCACAGGCATGTGCCACCACATCCTGCTGATTTTTTTGATTTATTGTAGAGATGAGGTCTCACCATATTGCTCAGGCTGGTCTCAAACCCCTGGACTCAGGTCATCCTCTCACCTCCGCCTCCCAAAGTGCTGGGATTACAGGCGTGAACCACTGCACCCGGGCCTCACTTTAATTTTTAAAGTGAGTATTTCATATAAAATTTCTAGAGGTTGTATTTGTATAAAAATAATTAGTTACTCAAAGAACGGACTGCTACAAAATCAAGGAGTTTAGAATCCCTGCCTAACTGTGTTGGAAATTGTTTGTCCTGGAGAAGATAAAGTCACATTCCGACGCCTGGAAGCCTACTACGGGAAGGGCACTAGCTCTATTGTGGGTTCCTAGAGGATGATGATCTTAGGAGCGGTGGAGTGGGGCGGGGGAATGAACTGGAGCTCAGTAACTTCCTGACAAGGAAAGCTGCCCATGAGTGGCACAACTGCCAGATCCCATCATTGGCACGCTTAAGTAGAGACCAGGCAATCACTTATCAGGAGACGGTCACTGTACACAGGAGACTGGAGTATTCCGTGGATAACAGGATGAGGCCAGTTGATGCTCTAGGTCCCTTCAACCCTAACATCATATGATATCTCTTCAAATTTCCCCAACCTAGATGCCATAGACCCACACACCTCCACTTAGTGGTTTTCTTGGCGAACATTTATAGATTGCCTTCTGGGCGCACTGTTCCAAGTGATTTACAGGGATGATCACACTCAACCCTTAACCTGACACACCACATTTTATCCTCTACATTCTACAGATGAGGAAATTGAGGCACAGAGACATTCAGGTAACAGGCCCCAGAAAAAAACATAAGGGCAGAGCCTGAAGCCTCAGCAGTCAATTTCCAGGCTTATGCTGTAGGCCACTACACCCACAGGCAGCCAGCTACTCAGGAGCACAGTCTTCTCAGGTGATTTCTCAGCCCACTGATGGGCTAGGACTGCACGGTGGTGTTCTTCCTACATAGAAATAATTTCCATGATTATGAATTCAGAGATAACTTTGAGACTGGAATTTTTTATTGAAAACCAGCTAGATTTCTGGTTTTGAAGTTATTATGGATATAAATTTTAAAATTCCAGGCAATTATTTTCCAAAGGTATTTGCTTGAGTTACTTATTGAATTTATTGTTTCCTTCTTTGCATTTTCATGCTTGCCAAATAGAAATTATTTTTATAGCACATTTGTCATCACTAACTGGAAGAACCCTTCTAGTCCTCCACCGATGAATGTCCACAGTGCTAACCACAGTCAATATTCCTAATATTTACTCCATAGTCCTATATGATGCAGCATCTCTTATGCAATAAATTCCACTTTGAATGAAAGAGGCATACTTCTGATGACCAAGTCTACTTGTAATCTAAAACACAGTCAAGAAAATTTCAGTTTTGTACTGTTTTAGTCCAGATCCTCCCATTTTCCCCAAATCATAAACTAAACCATCTTTCAGCCTAAGTTGATTCAGCCAGAGAGTATTCTCACACCAATGAATCACTGTTTTAATTGCGTGGCTGGCACTGAGTGTGGAACGTATATGCCCTATGTTAACATTTCTTTTGAGTTTTTCCTTATCCACAGGAGATATGTGCCGAGGCCCCTTACTGCAGACAAGCCTTCTGTTTTGTGCTGCGGGTCTCATTTTCTCTCCATCATTGGTCCCTCCCCTGTTCAGTGGCTCCACCTACATGAGCTCCAGTCACTTTGCTTACCAGCAGGCTCCTATTCTACCTGACTGCCCCTCCCTTTTTTCTAAGAGCCCCAGTTCCCAAGACCCTCATACAGGACAATGATTTCCATGTCTCCCTTGAGTGGTTGCCCAGTTTCTCTGAAGAGAGTTGTCCCAAGTCTTCCTAGGCTGTGTGGAGGTTGTGAGGAGAGAGATCAGGGACCATGTCAGGGAACTGAGGTGGGCAGCCCCCTCCACCACTGTACTTTCCACCCAGCCGTGACATGTGTTTATGTGTGTGTCGGGCTTTGCTAAGATGGTAGGCTTCAGAAAGGTCTGCGTGCATTCCTTTTCAGTCACTGCTTAATCCTTTGTCGAGCATATAAAAGATGTTTTACATCTTGCTTTTTTTCTTAAACATTTCACTGAAGCTGGGCTCGGTGGCTCAGCCTGTAATCCCGCGCCTTTGGGAGGCTGAGGTGAGTGGATTGCCTGAGCCCGCGGGTTCGAGACCCGCCTGGGCAACTTGGTGAGACCGCATCTCTACAATAAATAAAAAAATCAGCCGGGTGTGGTAGCGTGCGCCTGTAGTTCCAGCTACTTGGAAGGCTGAGGAGGAAGGATTGCCGGAGCCCAGCAGGTCGAGGCTGCGGTGGCCGGGAGCGGCCACTGCACTCCAGTCTGGGCAACAGAGTGAGACTCCAACTCAAAAAAAAGAAAACTGCTGACCTCATCCAGGGCTTTAGGAAGCCTGAGTTCAAGGATTAACGGGCATTGAAAAGCATTTAGAGATTGATTGAGCTTTAGCTGTGGAGGTATGGATGCCAGAGCAAGGCCGCTGCTGACCAGCATGATTTAGAGGCCTGGTATGGACGCCAGGCTCCTGATGGGAAGTTGTTATTGATTGTTTCTGGTACTTATTTGTTAATGTGGCCAAATGGTCATTTCATTTCTGGGATTTGGAATTGTGGCAGACAACCATATGGGGTGTGTTACTCACATTTACCTTCAAGAAAGGACTAGCTGCCCAGCTGTGAGGGGTGTGGTTCGCTGATGGTCTCCAGCTGTTACCTTCTTTGGGGTCTGCTTCAGATTTCAAGAAAAGGACACACAAGCCGGGCTCGGTGGCTCAGCCTGTAATCCTGCACCTTTGGGAGGCTGAGGTGAGTGGATTGCCTGAGCCCACGGGTTCGAGACCCGCCTGGGCAACTTGGGGAGCCCTCATCTCCACAATAAATCAAAAAATTAGCCGGGCGTGGTAGGGCGCGCCTGTAGTTCCAGCTACTTGGAAGGCTGAGGCGGAAGGATCACCAGAGCCCAGCAAGTCAAGGCTGTGGTGGCCGAGAATGGCCACTGCACTCCAGTCTGGGCGACAGAGTGAGACTCCAACTCAAAAAAAAAAAAAAAAGAAATGTTGAATTGCCTGAATTGCTGGGGTAATGTAATGCGGTAACTCCAAATCTGAGAGGGCTTGCGTGTAATGTTTACCAATTCCAAAAAGTCACCCAAGTGTCCAGCAGGGAAAGACACATTTATTAAAACGTACCGGAGACACTGATGGCAGCAGTTCAGTGAAGAATCCACACCTCAGGGCAGTACAGCAAGCAGTTTTATGGTCAACCAAGCTGATCATTCAAATTCTGATGTGGTGTTTATAATTATATTTATTTAAGCTTGACAACATTGTTTTCTTTCTTTCTTTTTTTTTTTAAGTAGGAGTCTCACTCTGTCACCCAGGCTGGAGTGCAGTGGCACACTCATGGCCACTGCAGCCCCGACCTGCTGGGCTCAGGTGATCCTTTCACCTCAGCTTCCAAGTAGCTGGAACCATGGTGCACATCAGCATGCCAGGCTGAATTTTTTACTTATTGTAGAGACAAGGTCTCACCAAGTTGCCCAGGCTGGTCTCGAACTCCTGGACTCAGGCAATCCTCTCGCTTCCGACTCCCAAAGCGTTGGGATTACAGGCGTGAGCCACTGTGCTTGGCTGACAACATTGTTTTTAGCTTTGCTTAGTCACCTGCATGCCATGACTCATTACTGGGAATAAGCATACCCTTCAGAGACCAGCTTTTGTCAGAGGCTGCTCCCTGAGCTGGGAGCGGGGGAACAGAAAGAAGCCAGGTATAGGGGGAAACCAGCCCACATCTGGACAATACCCCATAGACAGAAAATAAAGGAATAAAAAGGCTTAGGGAAGGAGGCGTGCTGGAATGGATATATGAGGCAAGATGACTCATCAGAGGATTATGTTCCACAGAGGGGCCTAGAGGTCCCATCCTTACCAAGGTCATTGGAAGTGCACTGATGAGAAGGGCTTGAGTTCAGTGGTGGCTTTTTCAGCAGTCTCTGCTGGCAGGAAAGGCTGTGATGGAACTTGGCTTGCTAAGAGCAATGTGCCCAGGTGGCAGTAATAGCCACAGAAGTCAGGGTGCTATCATTATCATATTAAACTCTAAGTTTAAAATGGCAACCAAGGAGCCCTGATCTGTAAAGCCTTATGTATATGGTTAATACAAAACGATGTCCCTAGGAACAAAATAGATCAGTTGTCAACAAGGGTAATGCCTTACATATAATCAAAAGAGAGCAAGAATGGAGGAGCAAGGGGCTAAGAGGGATCACCCCAATTTAAACAAAAACATGATTCCTTGCCCAGTTTCTAGAACGAAACTAGTTTTCTGATCCAAAGTGCATTAACTGAAGAGGTGACTGTATCCTAGGGGAAAGATCTCTGCTGCAACATTTCAGCAAGTATACACAGTAATGATCCCCCCAGTTTGGTTTGATTTTTTTTAAGGGCTATTTACCCAGGTGGCTGCACATTGGGGGAAGAGAAATATCCGGATAAG